AGGAGGGTCTGGTGCGACAAAGCGCGACACGAGCAGGGGGCCGCTAGCTGACCTGACGCAGACGCAGACGCAGCGACCTGAGGGGACACAGTAGTCAGTGTGTACAGACTCGAGCCAGGCGCACGGGTAAACGTGGCCAGGTGCCGGCCCGTCCGGGAGCACGTACAGTGGGTCACGCGCTGACCTCCAGGAGTGAACTGGTCAACCCACTGGTCCTGGAGGTCAGCACCACTCACCAAGTTCGTAGAGAACGAGGGGAGGTGAAGACCTGACAGGGAGCCAGACGGGACCGCCGGACACGGCAGGACCGTGGAGGAGTGCGCAAGGACTGGACCCCCAGAGGGGTCTGCCAGGGAGACTGCAACCGGCCGACTGAGCGGCGTGAGGGTGGTGCTGTCGCGAAAGAAGGAGCGGGAAGCACCTGAGTCAAGCGTGAAGGTGTACAAGGCCTCAGCAGGCGCAGTACCAGAGAGAGCAGACTCACCAGCACCTGGAGCAGCAGACTCACCAGCACCTAGAGCAGGAGACGCACTAGCACCTAGAGCAGCAGCCTCACCAGCACCTAGAGCAGGAGACGCACTAGCACCTAGAGCAGCAGCCTCTATACCTGGGTCAGGCGGTACGCACAGGTAACAGGCACCGTCAGTACTAGTAGGCAATGCATACATGGCAGTGAGAATAGCATCATAGTCAAGAGCAAAGATATCTACCCTCTGCATAAGGAGCTCCAGCCAGGTGGGGAGCTCAGCCTCGTCGCCAAACTCGGTACGCCAGGCGTCGCTCAGACGGGCGAAACAGCGGGACTGTGTGTGACCAAGCGTCCCGCAAGCCTGACCAGCCCGATCACCTGTGCGAATGACGTACGGGCAGCGAACGGTACTCTGAGACCCTCTACTCTGAGCGTACCACTCATGAAGCTGCTGGGGCGTAAGTGTCTCACGCGGATGCCGCTGCAGCTGCAGCTGGCCACTGCCAGACGCTCCCGACTGACCAGCTCCAGGGCGACAGCTACGACGGCTACCGCCACAACCCCAACTAGCGTACCACTCACGAAGCTGCTGGGGCGTGAGAGACTCGCGCGGACGTCGCTGGAGCTGCATCTGGCCACCTCCAGCAGAAGCAGTAGTAGCAGCAGCAGCCTAGCAGCAGGGACAGCGCGGGCAGGCAGGCAGGCAGGCAGGCAGACAGACAGACAGGCAGGCTGCGTGGTAGCGCGCTAACAAGGCAGGCGCGCGGGAAGCGCGGGTAGGGCAGGTGCTCACCAATGGCGGGCAGGGTCGGCGCTCGACGGGCGGTGGCAAGGTAGGCGCACGACGGCGGCGACGGCGGGGCCGCAACAGCGGCTGCAGAGTAGGGCCGCGTCAGCTGCAGGGCGGGGCCAGGCGGGGCCGCGTCGGCGGCAGGGCGGGGCCGCCACAGCGGCAGGCCGGGGCCGCGTCGGCGTGTGTGGCGGGGTCGCGACAGCGGCAGGGCGGGGGCGCTTCGGCGGCACGACGGGGTCGCGACAGCGGCAGGGTGGGGCCGCGACAGCAGCAGGGCGGGGTCGCGTTGGCGGCAGGGCGGGGCCGCGACAGCGGTCTGCAGGGCGGGGCCGCTTCAGCGGCAGGGCGGGGTCGCGTCAGTGACCTGGCGGGGCCGCGTCAGTGGCAGGGCGGGCCCGCGTCAGCGACCTGGCGGGGCCGCGTCGGCGGCAGGGCGGCGCGCGGGGCTGCAGCGGGCCGCGGGCGGGCTGCCACGGCGCGGCGCGGGCTGCGTAGGCGGCGCGCGGGGCTGCAGCGGGCCGCGCGCGGGCTGCCGTGGCTCGGCGCGAGCTGCGCAAGCGGCACGCGGGGCAGCAGCGGGCCGCACGCGAGCTGCCGAGGCGCGGCGCGCGCAGCTAGGGCGACGCGCGGGGCAGAAGCGAGCCGCGCGCGGGCTGCCGAGGCGCGACGCGAGCAGGGAGGGCGACGCGCGGGGCAAAAATGGGCAGCGCGCGGGAATTAGGTCTGCGCGCGCGAAGCAGCAGCAGACAGCTCAGACAACAGACAGCAGGCAGCATGCAGACTGCGCGCGCAGCGCAGCATGGCACAGGCACAGTCACAGTCACAGTCGTGGGGTAGCGGTAGGTGGGCCCGAAAAAAAAGACGGTCCTACGGACCTACTGCTCTGAAACCATGTCAGAAGTCTAGGCAGGAATGAATGCATTGAATGAGAGTTGGGTACAAGTATCTAACCCTAAAGGGGTTGTACCCCATATTGGCTACCCCACTACAGCCTACACAAATATAGCATGCATATAGTTTGACAATGTGATCTACCAGATGAAAGGCCCGCTGATCGTGAACTCGAACCACCCGATGTGTAGCAGTACTGTGCGGCGTTCAATATTCTGTTCGAGCAGACAATCCGTCGGCTATTGTCCAGAAACCGACCTGAACCGCATAGTTTGCGCAAATGTTGTTGCGTACTTTTCTAGTCCGTCTAGGGTACGTTACACGACTCTAGTTGCATATCCGATTATTTACGAGGATTATAGGGTGCAAAATAGCGCTACCGCTCATTGCAAAACACGTCAATATGATTAGACAGTGGCATTAAGAACATATCACGAAGATCAACGGACACATATCCCAGCACTCGCCTTAACTTCTAATTGCATGTAGTCGCCAATGCAAACACATGCTACTACTCACTCTCCGACATTACGCCTCTTCTTCGTGGGCATCCTGAGCAGACGAGACACAATTCAGCGTTCGTGATGCCAGTGTCTAAAACGACGGCGGCCAGGTCCTTGCCAGAGTAAGAGGCTCGTTTTGCGAACACACCAGACAACGTACGCATGACAAGGCGAATGCTCCTGGCGTCGTCCAAGTAGCCAGGGGCCGACTCGGACTCGGCACCGGTAACACATACGAGATGAAAATCTCCAGCAGACACGACATCCGTGCACACAGGATGATCCGCTTCAATGCACACGTACTTCACAACGGACAATTGGTCCCAGTGGGGGATGTACTGATTGATTGTCTCCGCAACTGCACCAGCTCCTCCGTTAATTGGTCCAGCATTAAAGCGCTAGCCCTTGGCATTGACGCCAGAAACATGTGCTGCCAGTTCGGGGGAATGCAATCCGCCGCTGCCCACGAACGTATGATGGTTGCCTTCGAAATGCGCTTCCAGGACAACGCCATCCACACCACGACTTGCTCGAGCCCCGGGCGTGACAAGGCCCATGCACCGTCATCCAGTCGCATGTCCGCCAAACACCTTAAACATCTCAACGATCCTGAGAAGCATCGGTATTCCGCAGATGGGTACCGCCTCATGCATTTGCACCACGCGGATGTGGGTCAATGTAGTGGCATCGAAGTCGCACATCTTGGACCGAGCTCTGGAGTCAGTCGCCATGGTGTGGCGTGGTTTGCACACTAAGATAGTCGTCTTCTGGTCGGTAGTCAAGTTAGCCACGTTTAGATCCTCGATGATGCACGTGGAAACATGCACACGCGAGGGTGGGCGCAGTTCGAAGTCATTAATCGAGTGGGTACAAACATAGTGACTCGAACAAACACATGTGATGGGCCCGGTCGCGTTTGAGTTTATGGGTCGTACCTCGAACGTTAAACGCCAATCCGTTGTGCTCCACGTGACCACATGTTCGTTCATGTTGAAATCCGCCCTATGCTCCTCTTCTAGCCGTTGGTTCAAAATTATAAACGGGCAGGGCTTTGAAGACCCGTCCACGTAGATAAGAAGGCACACCAAAAAGCGCCATCCACTGTCATGCACCATCTTATCGTCCATGTATATGATCCACTCCCAAGGATTCTTTGATGACGTAAACGGAAATACGACGAACCCGTACACATCGCCAGGGGCCGCCCCCAGTGTCTATAATAATTCTTTAATGTCTGCCATGTTAAAAAAAAAAGGACGTGGAATGTTTGTGAGCTAAAGTGACACACTAATTTTTTGTGTGCACCACAACTTCGAGCGAACGAATTCGCATATGGACAGTGTGTGCTCTTTGCGCCACACAGTAGGTGTTAGAAGCGTGTGGCCAAATTTTCAGGGCATGGAATGTCACACACGGCTGGCATTGAGCCATTGGATCCAAATGACGCCCACCTTATCTTTCTGATATGCGCTAAACCTGAATACGTGTTTTTCCTAGTGGCATTTGTAATGCTCTTCACACTCCTACATGGCCTTCTGGTATTGATAACTTCCCAATCTTCTAGAAAGTGTCTGTGTTCATACGCGTTCTTTTCTATGTTCCATTTGTGCTGTAATCCTCTAAACTCACTTTGTCTTCGAATAGCAAAAAGTGCTCCGCACCCAC